ATTGGCTGTGTGCAATTTTAAAACTTTCTTTGAATTCTCTCTTAACTTCCATTTTTCCGCACAGACCGGCGATTTCATTGTACTCCGTTCCGATTTGGTCAACGATTGGCCGATCATCTGGCAGGTGGACACCCAATGTATTCTACAAAAATATGAGCCATTCTGTCAGAATGGCAAAATGTTCTATCGCAACATGTCAATGGTAAGCCTACTAATTTTGCGATGAATAAAAATATAACCAAATTTCTCGTTTCGCCTGCCCCCTAGTATTCATCGTGGAATCTCGACTCAAAGAAGCTATATGTCAAGGCGCCCGTACGCATACAAGTGCAATCGCACAAGGAGACCATTGTGGAATTTATGCGTTCCGAGCTGTTGGCCGACGATACCGAACAATTTATTGAGAAAATTATGGAAGATTATTTGCGTTATCGTGACAATTTCGAAATTTACATACAAACAATGATATCACAGGTGTTGGATCCAAGCTTCTTCTTGGAAATAACTAGAGAGAAGGGTAGGCGCACTATTGTATGATTTGTTGTTTAAACTTTTTTACCCAATTTGTTGTTTTTTCTCCTTACCCCACTAGACGAGTACTTTTTGGGCAGCGTACGCATTATCGACAGCATAATGGATAATTGTAAACGTAAATTACTCTCCATTACGCCCTGGACACGCAGTATTATCGTTTCAATTGAAACTTATCCCAAATGTCATGTTTTCACCGAGTGGGGTCAAAACAATCTGACACAGAAAAACTGTGGCGGCTGTCATCAGCCAGGCATATCGGTGCGCTTTCTGCTGTTTGGTAATCCCTATCATGCCAACACGATGCAACCGGTGCCCGTCGATACGCGCTTGGCTTGTGAAAAGGTAAGCGTCCAGTTACTCTATTAATATGGAATTTTATTTATGGCATATTCTTTATTTTCTACTCCACTAGGATATACTCCTGTGTCGCATTTGCGCTGCCCGTGCTGATATATTCCATAAAATTGCACATGAAAAGTATAATTTGTATATACATTGTTCGTCACGTGTTGGTGAGCAGCAACAAGAATATCCGGGCAAATCGTCAACGGAAATCTTGAACGATCTACTAGCCGAACACAACTGGGTGGATGAGGTGTGTATGCCTTCATAGCTTTCAATTGCCAAAATAAATTTTTTTTAACTCTGTCACATTAATTATTTTACAGTTATTCCGCAATATGCGCAACTCCTGGGCTGAGGTGGAAAGTTTAGAACGTCAAAAACGTTTTCGTGAAGTCTCACAATAAAATTAATCTACTGTAATATGAATATATTTAAAAACAACGCATCAGCAACGCTGGTATTGGTGCTCATATGTACACGCTGAATAAATTCAGCCGATAAGTTGCCGTGCAATAAACAGCCTAGCAAGCAAAACTAACGAAATTCCTTATACAATTCTAACTACGCAAAAGCAGCAGTGCAGAAACAAAACGAAAAAGTATAAAATTAACCTAAATGTTAGCAGAAAAAATTATTCTTGTACCAACTGTTATTAGCGCGTCCAAGCCAGCTCATAATTTTGCCTGCAAGCAACGTAAAAGTGTGCGCTAAACGGCGTTGAAAGCGCCATGCAAAATACAAATCTATAAAAAAGTATAAAATAGCAGTTACTAAGTATATAAATACATATAATACATACTACGTATACAAATACATAAATATATATTATATACAGTTTAGCATAGTCTAAGCTAACCTTAAAAATTGGTTGACAAGCATTATGTATATTTTAAAATTTTTTTTAATAAGCTTAGTATAAAAATTTTCATATTTTAATTTCGCGAAATATAAATATTTTCACTCTAGTGCGCAAGGCTTGGTATGTGTCTCACACACAGAGTTTAGTTTGTTTGTATAGTGGGTTCAAATTTTAGCGATTTTAAATTTAAATTTCGAAAAAATTAAAAAACAAAAATAAAGTTATTCGAAATTGAAAAAAAAATATTTAAACGAAAATTGATTAAATAAAATAAAAAATAGTAGTTTTGAAAAAAAATTGAATAAGCAATTAAAAAAAGTTAAAAACTTTTGAATTTTGTTTTCTCAATATTAAAAAAAATTTTAATTTTTTCCTTCGCGAAATTTAAAGTCATCAAATCTTAAACCCACTGCAAACTTTCAAAATATTTTGTTTTTATTAATTTTATTTACATTTTAGTTCTTTAAATGTAAAGTAATTTTTTTAAAGATATTGTCAGTTATTGCTGAAAAAAAATATATTTTTTATAGTTTTGGTTTCAAAAATAACTTTTATTTAAAAGCAACAAATTTTAAAGCCATTGAACCCATTTATATTTTTTTTTCAGAAAAATTATTTAAAATTTTTTAAGATATTTTCAGAATTATTATTTTCATTTTTTTTATAATTTTGGTTTAAACAAAAAATGTTAATTATGCAAAAAAAAAGTATATTTTTGTGGTGGGTTTAAAATTTAAATTTCAAAAAAAGTATAAAAAAAAGTATTAAATTTAAGAACTTAAAAAATATGAAATTTCGAAAAAATTAAAAAAAACCAAATTAGAAATTTTCAAAATTTGTTTCATAGTAAAGAAAGGTCAAGCTAATTTTTTTTCAGTTTTTAATCCAAACCAATACCAAAATGATTTTGAAACAAAAATTAAAAAATATAATGAAAAATAGCGAAAATTTATTAATTCCAAGTTTAGATTAAAATTTTTCAACTTTGAAAAAAGTTTTGATTTTTGTAGTGGGTTAAAATTTAAATTTCGAAAAAATTAAAAAAAAATTCAAAATTGGAAAAAATCAAA